CTTTCATTATCCAATTTTTCTTTTGCCTTATATCCGAAACTCTTAATCAGGAGACGAATATTCGGTCCACTTCCTCATCTGTGTAATGCTTTTCAAAAACTTATGAGAGGGCGGGGGTACGAAGGCTTAATTTTCTTTTTCTTTCTTTTTTTGCTGAAAATATCACGATTACTTTTAATTCAGCTACGATAGAGACACACGATTATTATTAACAACTAAGTGGAGCCCCTATCAGTTTTATTAAAAAGACCTTTCAGGAGTTGGGACAAGGGAAAGGATGGAGGAATAGGAAGGAAATTGAAGACTATAGTGTAGAAAGGTGATAAGTAACATTTTATATTTTTCTGGGGAGTGGCAAGAAATGTTTTAAATATTCAGTATTGCAGTCAGGCCTGGTGTGAATTAATTTATCTTATTACGTTAGCAAGCATAAGGATTTATCATCATATCATATCATACGCCATAATACCGGGTTATTCTTTTTGATAATTTAATAATGCTGACAACCAACAGTATGATTTTATTTTAGAGTTAACCCCGTTTTGCAACCAAAGTTTCCAATTGCGATGTCCTAATAAAATCAAGTTTTAGATTCGCGTACATTTCGTAAAGTAAAAGAAAGGAAATATAAGATCTTTTCATTATTTATGAGCCAGTTAACCTACTCCGATAATTATATTATTCTTAATAAGTGTATCGTAGATGCGAATGTACGCAGACGTCGAATTAATAAACCGACAGATATCAGTACAGTTAAAAGTTTTGTTTTAGAACGAAATATTGAATACTTGCACGTGCTTTATACACAGTTTATCCTACATTTCCAGCTTTGTTTACACTAACAGTACACTACTTAAGACAGGAAATGAGAGTTGTTGGTTTGTGTAACATATGTGTGTGTAGAACTTCTCGGTGCGAAAGGCTTTAACAGGGCCTTAACATTAGAAATCTCTTTGTTGCACGATTGTCTACATTTTGTTTATTACGTCACGTTTTTTAGGACCATATTTTGGTAACTGTGAAAATTAGTTACTCCGCCAGTTCGCTGCTTTTGTTAAACCAAAATGTTCAACACAGTTCTCATGAAGTGTCGCTCTCTCTCTCTCTAAATTCGTAATATAGGAAATGTGAAGACGTTTTTGCGCAGTGGCGTTGGTAATTATTCCCTCATATGATGCTATAAGGCTGTGGGTGACACCCAGAGGTTTTGAAACCGCAACTGTAGGGTGGACTTAATTTACCGTCTGGCTGCTGGGTGGGTGCGCTTGCTTTTTGAACGGTTCTAGTTTTCCATCGCAACACGCGACTTCTTTTTATGTTCTTTTTCGTCTTGTAAATGGAACAACATGCATTCCGTGACAAAGTGATGCAGTTTAATTGCCACAGTCCTTTCCCTCTTTCTCTATCACGTGACCTAACCATGCATCATTACCCGAATGTAGAAGTGAGTGAGAAGGATGGATAGGAAAATATATTTCCTTATAATGACTACATTTAATTGCTTGCCGTGACTTAGGCTTGACGTATTACAAAACGAAAGGGGAGAAGGAGGGAAATATATATTTTTTAGCCTCGAGATAATGTTTATGTTGAAGTTACATTCTGAGAGTTGTACAAAGGCGACATATGTAATTGAATATTCATGAACAGTGTTGGAATATCGAGGTTTTTACCCTAATGCTAAAACCAAAACTTAGAGAAAAAATTTCCATCTACTTGTGATGTCATTGACTACTCATATTACTTTTGCATTGTCGATTATTAACGAGGGTATGTTTTGAGTATGGAGAATTTACGCTGGCTCTGTGAGCTTTTCTGCAGACCGGAAGGATGTAGTGATCCTTCTTGAAGATTTAAAATTTTGTGCCCTGTTATACTTCCATACTCTTATTGCGAGGCTTTGGAATTTGATCTCACCAACACAAAATCTGGCGCAGATTCTGCGTTCTTCTTTTCCTAGGCCTTGTATGTGAGGAAAATGTGCAAGAAATATCAAAAGAATGTTTGCATTCAATATAAATCAACGACTTGGATGAAACGGATGGAAGATGGAGCACGCATGAGTGAAGTGGTACAGTCATACAAAATTTTGGTTAGGAAACCTCAAGGGAAGGTACCGCTTAGGGGACCTAGGTGTAGGTGTTAGAGCAACTGATGTTGTTATTTCTGTACAGTTTATTTAAAAAATATTGGCGAAAAACGGGTGTTTTTGGTAATTTTATTAAAAGAAATTGGAATTTGGTTTGTAGCTTTGCACCTTGTAGCTTAATTACTGTCGTTTGTGAATATACTCAAAATCGCCTTGGCATCGACTTCAAAGGGAAGCCTTGTAACTTCAAGCTGTGAATACAGTGATATAGTTTTCTACTATTATGCCTCGAATTTTGTATACAGACTCTTTTAACGAAGTCCCACAGAGTTACGTCGTTTCC